TATTAATTAAAATATTTTTTTCTAGGAAAAAAAATAATAAAAAAGTCAACGCCAGAGACCGGCCAGAAAAAAATTTCAGGAAAAATAAAAGTTTAAAAAAATAAAAAAAAATCAACGCCGAAATCGGGCCGGAAAAAAAAATTCATAAAAAAAATTATTTTCTGAAAAAAAAAATTAGACTAAAGACATGGGGATGAGTTTAATTGAAAGACTGTTTTTTTTTTTTTAACCAAAACACATTTAAGTCCAATGTGGTGCGCCTTTTTGCCATTCGCCCAACTAAATAATTCAAAAATGTCCTAGATATACTCAAACCTTTGAGAAAATAAGACAGGATGTATATATTAGCTTTTGATTATTTTTATTAAATGTCCTACATTTATTATCACCACCCAATAACAAGTGGATATTCATTATTAAAACATATCTAAGTGGATTTATTTGTAATATAAGATTAATTTTGGGAGTGTTTTCGAGTATGTTCATGAATCTCAGAAGCAGTACAATACAAATTGGTAATCAAACAGAACACAGTTTTAGCTCACAATTAAAGCCAGTTTTCAAGTTCCAATAAATAAGACAAAGACAATCTATTAACTTTGTTTGTGAACTCAGATTTCTTATTCCCAAGAATAAATTTTGTCTGTATTTCATGCTGCATACATCTGTACTTCCACCAGTGTACCACGCCCATGTCACGTGACACTTTTTTTTTTTGTTAATTTAGCTACCGTATGAAGATTTTATTCTTTGATTTTTTTTTTCAAGATTTGTCCTTTTCTGCAAACCCAAATTAAATTAAAAAAAAAAATATTGGATTCATCAAAGCTGCTATAGTTTGCTGAGAATAGATAAAAACTAGAGCACGTGCATTCGTGAAGAAAATGGATATTATCATATAAATCCCGAGATGATTTTATTCTCAATTTTGATACGTCCTTTGTCGGTATCTTGCAGGTTTACTTGATGTTATTGGAGTATTAGTATTATACTAGTATTCTGCCTCGTGCGTTGCACAAATGGATATTGAAAAAAAATATAAAATAAGCAAAATTAAAAATTAGTAAACATATATGACATGTACAATAGCAAAACAATGGAACACCGAAAATGAAAAAATTCCACTAGTTACAATCAGTGGCGTATCTAGTGTAGTCCAAGGGTGTGCTACTGCACACCCTTGATTTTAAAAAAAAATTATTTCCTATATATTTATCAATATATACATGCAAATGTAAAACCTTGTCAATGCAATGCTGTAGCTTAACTGGTTAAGTGCTCTATAGAATTCGTCCGAGGTACAGGGTTCGAAACCCGAGAGTCTCAACCTCTCTATTATTGTATCTTTTTTATTCCTAATTTTCCATTACATACAATATTTCAATTGTTTTAAAAAATGTTGAATATGTGGGTATTTTTTAATATTAAAAAAAAAATCTTCTAATATAACATATATTTTGCTATTTGTAACTTTAATTTATTTACCATTTCTTTAATATTAAATATAATATAAATTATTCCAAAATTCAATATTTCAATTGTTTTAAAAAATGTTGAATATGAAGGTATTTTTTAATATTTAAAAAAAATCTCCTAATATAACATATATTTTGCTACTTGTAACTTTAATTTATTTACCATTTCTTTAATATTAAATATAATATAAATTATTCCAAAATTCTAAATATTGAATATATATATATGTATTATTTCAATTTTTTTTCTATATTTACAACTATGTGGGTTTTTTTTTCTTTTTGAAAATTCAAAATCTGCTAATGAAACGTACATTTTGTCACTTGCAACTATAATATGTTTACCACTCGTTTAATATATTCACCAATTTTATGTCTAAATATTTCCTAAATTTGCCCAAAAATGGTAAAATAATCCCTTTAAATTTAAAAATTTTAAAGATTTTTTATTATTTAATGTGTATAGTATTCAAAAAAAAACAAATTCGGGGGCGCAGCCCCTGAACCCCCGTAAACTATTAGCCAATCATTATATTTTTTACTATATTTAATTTCGAACACCCTTGGCAAAAATCTTGGATTCGCCACTGGTTACAATCATAATATATATATTTATATATCTATTTTTACAATAAAATTCCACAAAAAAAGGAGAGAAATGTTACTAGTGGAAGAGGAAAAAAAACAAAACAAAATAACTAAAAGAAAATGTGTCATATAAAAAAGAAGAGAAAATATATTGCTAGAAGAGAAAAAAAAAAAGAAAAGAAAAAAAGAAAAAGTAAATATTTAAAAATAAAAAATATGAAAAAAAAAAATTGATGGAAAAAAAGAAGAAAAGTAAATAAATAACACAATTAAAAAAACCGAAAAGTATTCTATAAAAAAGGAAGAAATAACAAATAATTTTGAATGTGATATTAAAAAGGAGAAAATAAAGGAAACAAATATTTCACAAAAATATTCTTAAAAAAATTGTTTTAGGGTTTCGGGGCAAACCTTTATTTTATATGTAAACCTGATACATTTCACTAATAACTTAAACTTTTGGTTGAGATGGTCATTCAACATGGTATCACAGCCAAACCTAGGGGTGCAAGTTGGAACGGAAGTCACAATTTCCGCCGGTTCCGATCCGAAAAGTTTTGTTTTTGGAACATTTTTTTTTCATTCCGACTTTCGAAATTCGATTTCCGAATTTTTCTGATTTTTTTGGATTAGAATTGGAATTATATATAAAAAAAGATTGAAATTTCCGATTTCCGATCCGATTTAATTACCGAAAAAAATCGATTTTCTTCCGAAAAATACACCTATGAAAATGTATATTATATAATACTTATTTTAATTTATTTTTGTTTTATGAAATAGTAATATGATTTAAGTTTTGTTTTAGGATTTTGACATATTGAAAATTGTTATTAGAAGTTTTATCGGATATTATAATGTGGTTTATTTTTATTTATGTTTTTGAACTGAAATTTAGTAGTTATTAATTTTACTTTTATCGACATGGATGTTCTTATTTTGGAACCGCTAAGTTTTGAAATTTTAAAACTTATTTGATTTCGATTTTTTTCCGAAATTCCGAAATTTCAGGGTCTTTTGGAATTTGAATGAATTTTTTGATACCGAAATTTTTGGAATTGGAATTGGAACGGATTTTGTACTTCTGTTTTTTTTTTGGAAAGTTTTAATTCCGATCCGAACTATCCGACTTTAATTTCACCCCTAGCCAGATCAAATGAAAGGTCCTGAGTTCGAATTTCACTGCAACCCATTTCAAATATTTCAAGTTCAAGGCTTCAAATGTAATTTTGCTACACTTAAGGGGGCGTATTGGAGATATTAATATTAATGATACATTTCAGTAATAACTTAAACTTTTGGTTGAGATGGTCATTCAACAATAATCACACACACTCATGTGTATGAGTGCTTAGTGGGAAGCTATGTAGTGCGGACACGAAAACAACATAAAAAACGGGAAAACGGCATGTCCCGAAAATGGAGATACGGGAACTCAGGGGATTTGTACACATATTAAAAGTACAGGGGTATATAAGTAAATAATGCTATAAAAATATATACAAGTTTTTATTTATATATAAAATTTTGTTTATATATTTTCATACAACCCTATTCAAAAATAAATTTTAGGGAAAACTACAACTACCCCCTCAGGTATAGTCAAACTATGAAAAGACCCCTCTTGTTTTGGTAATTACAACCACCCCTCAATTATAAATCTTCTTACACGTCTAACCTTGCGGTGTCAAATTTAGTGGAATCTTCTTGATTATATGCAATATTCTCAATTTTTTACTCGTTTTATCTCATTCGAGCTCCACATTTTGAAGCAAGATGATCATAAGAAGTGTTTTTTTGGCTTCTATATATCAGATTGTGGTGCATCAATAACTGTTTTTTTTTTTTTTTGCACAAAACAAGTACAAAATAGGGAGCATTCCACGTAATCTTGAAGATAAAATTGAATTTGATACCATAAGGGTGGACGTGTAAGAAGATTCATAGTTAAGGGGTGGTTGTAATTATCCAAACACGAGGGAAGTTTTCGTAATTTGACCATACATCAGGATGGTGGTTGTAATTTATCCTAAATTTTATTATCAACTATTAATTTACAGTCGATCATCAAAACCATGTAAATAATTAGGGAAGCAACACAAATATTTGAATATTTAATATTCAAACATGTTTTTAACTTTTTAAGAAATTGCAAAATAGCCCATAAGGTGTTCAGCAAGTGTCAGACAAAAAACGTGCCCGAAACACGAAAAAGTTAAGAATTGAAGTTTTCATTGCAACATAAGTGAAAATTTATTTGACCACACCAACGGTTAATAATTACCAGTGTATTTCACATGAATGCAAAATGAAATGACACACATAATTAGAGTATAACTATAATATAAGCCCTAATTAATATAATGAGCCCAAAGGCCCCAAACCCTTTTTTCTGTGAGCTTTGGGATATTATATTAATTTCTCAGCCCAATGTAGAGTGAATAATGGGACTGTTGGAGGCCCAATTAAGCGTATCAATAAGCTTTCAAAACAGCAGAATAAAATGCGCACATTTCATTCTTAAAATACACATAAATCCCCGACATCAATGCACAGAGTCAGCGCATACGAGGCGCATACAAGGTACATACGATGTACAAACATTGTACAATACAAAAAATTGTAATAGAAAATCCAAGATGGATGATAAATGTAGTAATCTATACTTCTAATCACCATATACATAGTTCATCAACCAAAAAAACTCGTTATCGACTAATATTGTATAATTCACTCGACGAGATGTATTAAAACTCTTAACGCTTAAATAATCCTCAAAACGAAACATAAAAACATCTATAATCGAGTAGTTATAATTAATACGAAATAGTACATTCTTAACTATGAAGTTTATCCTATATATACTGCATGAGGAAGAAATAACATAGCAAGTTCGGATTGATCTTCCATCATCAACTCCACCTGGCACTCGGAAGATCAATCGATCTTCAAGAACCTAAGTTTCGCCTCGGTATCTGAAAAATATAAAATCAAATCATATATATGTACAACAATGCATTAATTAATACAAATACTAAATTCTTGCTGAATTGAATCACTAAATAATAAAGTTACTTCAATTAAAATTATATCGAACGTATACGTATACACATATATGATCTCACACACAACATGCACACACAAGGCACATATACGAATATACACATAGAAACGGAGTACCACAAATTCTTCTTGATAAATTAAAGTTCGGAATCGAAGAATTCAATTTAGCATAAACTAAAATACAACATGTATACATAATTAATATTATATCGAGTTTAAAGAATTTAGTAATAAATCAATGCAGCAGATCAGTCTAATTACCAGCCTCGTCTTGCAATTTTACCGAGTTCTGCTGCTCCACATTAACACATGTGGCAGCATCTTCTTCCGCATTTACGACGGAGTCCTGTTAGACAATACAAATTACACAAAGCTGTTATAAGGCAAGATTATATATAATACAAATTTATCTTATATGCATTATGCGCATACGACGCGTTTATGAAGTGCATGTGACGCGTTTATGATGTGCATATATTGTTTATTATACAAATTTGTAAAATATAATTAATTCAGCAATTTTTTTTATGTACCTTTGGGCCTGTCTGTTCGATGCATGTAGACTCGACCGGTGTGGCAAGCTCGTCTACAACCATATCATCCTGAAAGAACGCAAGAAATGATATTATACTATTAAATGCAAGAATATTTGTATATATATTTATAGCCATGTGTTTCGACAAATTATTTATGAAAACGGAATATACCTTATCTCGTCCCTCTGGTTCAACAATGTCCATCCGCACCCTGCCAGGACTAGACTTGTTGTCCACGTCAGCATCGAAATCGGGATGCTTCCTTTCATCTATAGCATCTTCTTCACCTTTATCTTCCTGTGAGAACCATTTACGACAAATGAATTTATTAAACATTTTATTTTATATTAAAACAAAATGAAGAAAGTATTTCAAAAATAACAACTAGACTGTACGACTCTGCGAATAGTATTTGGTTTGTTTTTCAATATCAAATAGAATTTATTGATAAAAAAAATTCTAGAAGAAATAAATACTGCACATGTTAAATGTGCACCATGTGCGCATTTCTGATATATACTATGCGCGGAAAATGTGCACGCCGTGTGCATCGGCAGTACATTTACACGTAAAAGTACGCACTTCCGTAAATGGCTGTGCGTATTTGACACTCGTTACACATTCACATGGTGTAAGTATGCAGAGTACTATCGAGGGATATATGTTACGCGATTAAGGAATATATACACAACTACTTAGTGTTTATTCTCATCAAATTTATAATTACCAAATAATGTTCTTGGTCAACTCAATTGAATATTCACCGATTTGCAATCGAATCGGTTAGTTAGTAATTTTATAAAAAATATACACAATAATAAACATGCTTAAATAAAGTTCAAATTAATGAAATTAGGGTAGCCGTATTTTAAAGATATCAGATGGCAAGTCTAGTCATATAGAGTGTTTTATAAAACTAGAGATACTAGTGAGTTAAGAGTCATAGTTTTAGTGTATCTCGACAAATTTTTAAACGATTCAACTACTTGAGATTGTGCCTTTGAACTTCTACTTTGCAACTATACAAAACGAGACTTATAATAAAGAAAAATCGTAGGTAAATAATTTTTCTTTCTCTTTATACTTTCTCGTAAAAAAACCAAATTGTTCCGGAGTTGTAGAAAATGGTTTGTCATAGATTCGAAAAGAACACGAATAAAAGTTTCAAGAAATCGTAAAAATATGAGTTCCTTCGTAAAACCCGTTAGTTATTGGTACTTGTTACTTTTCCTTCCTTTTCTATATATGCTATAATCATTTTGTATATATGTTATAGGGTTGCTCGTATTTTCTAGAACTTATGTTGGAGCAATTTAGTAATAAGTTTATGATGTTAAAGCATATTCAATCACGATTATGTTACGATAATTACAATAAATCCCTAAACTCGATGGAAGTTAGCTGCTGAATATTGAAATTGATTGGATAACGAATTGAATATTTGTCTTGAGACGGAATTCAAATATAACTAGATCAAGCAAATTTAGTGACAAAATGATCGTTACTCAACGAAGAATATAGATAATGGAACGGGAACAAATAAATATCAAAGTGTAAATTTATAGTATCATGTCATAAATTTTCAAGGAAAATAAATCGAAAAACACAAAATCGAGAGAACAATATATTATGTTTTTACGAACCTCTGGTAGTTGAGTATGAGGTGGCCGCTCTTGAAACTCGACACTTGGAGCATGCTCGAGTTTAGAAAGATTATTGAGGATTCTTGCTCTTAATTCGTCGACCATTTCACGAGAATTTTTGTTTTCCATATTACTTGGAGATACATGAAGACTATAGTCGGGGCCGAAATACTCTATATATTCGTGTGCTGGTATTTTGTCATCAACCTCAACTCCAAGTGCCACCCCTGTCTATTTTTTAAATAAACAAAAAAAAATCAAATATTAATAATTCGACGTAAACCGGAAAGAGACAATATTAATAAAAATCAAATATTAATAAATTAATACAGTCGGGACTAGCAAAATTCTATTAATTTAGCGAAATATTAAATTATCGAACTAGTAATTTAGTAGGTTTTTACCGAGTCGGAATCAGAAAAAACTATTATTTAAGCGAGGTTATTAATTTATCGAGGTTCTACTGTATACCTCATAGCACCAGCATCGAGCGACGTTACGTATAGTATAACCACCGCCACCGAGCAAAAGAAGCGGCACATTAAAAGATCTCATATACTTAACGCACTCCGAGTGACCTTTAACGGTGAGATTAAAGCACCCTAATCTGTCTCCCGATAACGAGTCGGCCCCACATTGCAACACAACCGCTCCGGGCCTATAAACCTCCATTACTTTACTCATTATCGGCTTAAATAAAGATTGATAGCTTTCATCGTCAATTCCGTCGTCTAACGGAACATTAATCGCATAGTATTTCCCCTTTCCGTATCCAATATCTCGAAAATCTCCGGTGCCCGGGAAATAATCTCCGAATTTATGAAACGAGACGGTCATTACTCTGTCGGTTATGTAGAATGCCTCCTCTACACCGTCGCCGTGGTGAATGTCGATGTCAACGTATAAAACACGCTGCAATTACAGTTAAAAATCTATAAATTAATACAGTCGGGATCAGGGAAATTCTATTAATTTAGCAAATTATTAAATTTTCGAGTTAATAATTTAACACGTTTTTTCACCAGGTCGGGACCGCGAGAAACTATTACTTAATCGAGGTTATTAATTTATCGAGGTTCTACTGTAATTAATAATAATAAATAATAAAAAATAATCATCATTAATGTTGGGTAGCGTCGCGTTTTCAATATTTAGGCTATGTTTGGATCAAAGGAAAACGAACGCAATTAATATACCTCGTGATTCTTGAGGAGTTCAAGAATGGCGAGCACAATGTCATTCACATAGCAAAAACCCGACGCCTCGCATTTCTTGGCATGGTGCAACCCGCCAGCCCAATTAACAGCGATATCACAATGCCCGTGGTTCAACTTAACCGCCCCACCGATCGACCCGCCTGCGTAAGTTTGGCAATATGAATAAAGCCCGTCGAAAACAGGGCAATCTTCGCCCACGTTGAATCTCTTGAGCTGCCTCATGTACTCTTGCTGCGTGTGCGGCGTGATTCGTTTCAAGAACGCCACGTAATCATCTGCATGGAATCTGCATAGATCCTTTTCTCGAGCAGGGTTCGGTTTTAAGACGTGCATCTGTTCGAGTAGTCCGTATTGTGCAAGAAGGGCGTGTGTCATTCTCATTCTGTGCGGCTTCATTGGGTGGCCTTGCCCGTAGTAGTAGTTTCCGATTTCCGAGTCGTAAAAGTAGCACACTCTTCTTTTCGTTGCGTCCGATCCGGATATTAAAGAATTACCTCCGATATCCATTTACGAAAAAATCGAGCTTGAACTGCACTGTATGTATTAAAGAACACCGAATATATTTAACCGCACGAACTCGTACGATATGGTGAAAAATCTGCACAGAGAGAGAACAACAAGCGATTATCAAGCCGTTGTATTCGAAACGGTCGAATTGCATATAACTGAACGAGAATTTTTTTTAAAAAATTAATTAATTACTAGGTTTTGAAATGAAGATAGTTAAACATGGAAAGAATGTATCACACAAGACTACCTGTATAACACAAAGTCCGACTCGGCCGATTCCCTTTTCGAGCTTCGATTTTCGAAAAATAGCAATCTACATATCAAAAATAAATAATTAATGGAATTATTATTCTTTTTAGTTTCTTCAATTGGGAAAGGACATCTGCAGAGATCAGATAAATTAAAGGTATGACATCAAGAGAGAGAGAGAGAGAGAGAGAGAGAGAGAGAGAGAGAGAGAGAGATGCCAAAAAAAAAGAGAGAGAGAGAGAGATGCCAAAAAAAAAACCTAAATTTAATAGCATCAACCGCTGCATGATGATGTAGGCAGAGAGAATCCAATGAAAAATTACAGAAGATTTAGGGAAAAAAAAAAAGAAATCAGTAAAACATAAACAAAATGGAGATCTGTAATTCATACGAACTAAATGAACAAAGAAATCGCTGTTTTTTTGCACGTGATTATCAACTCTTGCATGCAAAACAAAATTAAAATTAAAAAACTAAAATTAAAAAAAAAACCCAGTCTTTGATGATTTCAATGCTAACAAAAAACCCTAAATTGTTCGAATTTCTTTCTTAAATTGGACGATTTGATGCATCAGGCGTTACTTTTCGAATCTTAAAGAACAATTCCCAACTCAGAAGAAGCACAATTTGTGTTTTTTTTTTCTGAATGCAGAAAAATATACCCTAAAAAAATGGATGAAGAAATCAAATGAGAAAAGACGGAAGAATATACCTGCAACCAACTCGGAGAGACGCCGACTCAGTGAATCGGTGTATAGAGAGAGAAAGAGGTTGAGTGTGTGAGAGAGAGAGAGTGCGTGTGTGTGTGTTTTAAGAATGATGAGTGTGTGCATTTTGTTATGTATCGAAATCTGCTCATTCCAGATTACTGTCATTTGTTGTTGCCAACTTTTTCTTCTTTTGTATTTATTTCAATATTTCAATTTTTTGACTTTCTTTCTTTCTTTTTTTATTTATTTAATTTTTTTTTTTTTTTTTTGATCTCTCCTTCAATAATCTCATTATTTTCTAAAATCCGATTGTACGCATTATGCAGGTATGACTAGGGGTAGAAATCGTATGGATCGAATCGAATTTTTTTTTTGACAAAAATAAATTATTCGTTGAAAATAAATTATAGTTTTGTGCTAAACAACAAATTTAGAAAAATAAAAACTTGTATGTACAGAAATCAAATTATTTAGGATCGAAATCGGCGGAATTCAATTCTGATGTTACAAGTGCAATTTTCTGTTAAAAAAAAATATTGAGTTTTTCTTTTTAATGTCATTTACTTATTTTAAAAAATTAATATTGAATGAAAAAAATGAAATCTCCATTTGTTCCAATTTCAATTAAACAACAAATTGAAAATTGAAATTTTTGAGTTTGGTATAAAAAATATCAATCCAAAATCGAATTTTTAAGAATTAAAATTGGCAAAAATTGGAAATTTCAGTATAATATATGATTAATAATTGGACATAAAATGATTTAGTTTTGCACATACATATAATCATAAGTTAAATTGTTGGAATTAGATACTCCTTTCTTATGAGTAGGAATTATATAATGAGATCAAGAAATTCAACAAAATAAAATCGTACAATTTTAAACATCTTATATGAGGAATTTACTTTATGTTTATAGAACAAAATACAATTCCAATTACATTTGAATGGGCGAGTGTTCTTACCTTGAATGGATTAGTGCGTTTTGTATTGATAGGGGATGAACTTACTTTAATTCTGCATTCAAATCAGTTTAATCCGTCTAATCATTCCCGGTAAAAATATCTCCCGAACCCATATTTCATTCCAATAGAATGTACTATGTCATGTCAATTTATTAACTGCATGTGTCAAGAGTAACAAATATTCTCTGAAGCGAATATGATGGGGCGTGCATTAAATGCTGTCAGACGACAAGGTTGGCTAAGGTTTCGATGCTCGCCAACCGTATCCTGGATGGTTGCTTTGCGCGAGACCACTAGGCATCTACTCGCTACTCGCTTGTTCGTCCCTCACGAATAGCTTGTTTTCATGAGTTTTGCCTTACATACGGCTGAATTTTATGATGGACCGAGTTACCAAGTATCCGTGAATTGTTGCACATGCATTAACTTAATTTATGAAAAAAAATTGCATTTACCCCTAATTTATGCCTAATTTCTTTACCGGTTACGTTGAGCTAGATGGTATACTTGAAATTTGATTAAATAATTATCCACTAAACACACATACACATATGTGTAAGTTTGTGATAATGTGTTGGTCAACCATTTAAATCCACTCAATGTAAATAATCAAGTGTAATACCTAACTTCCTTTGAGCGAGGATTGATATGGTTTAACTAATTTCCCTATCTACGTTAATTATGCAAATTTACCGAATTATGTATTTCTTGGGTTTAAACGTGCATAGATTTCAACACACGTTATATGAAAAATTAGAAGTTATTCTTGATTATTTACACTGGGTGGTTTGAACCTTAGATCTACATATAATATCACAAACACCCATGTATATTTATACTTCGTGGATAGATATTTAGGATTAATTTAGGGTGAGATACCGTGTATTCTATACTTATAAGAGATATGCTTCGATCACCATTAATTTTCTAAGATTAAATTTGGACCTTAGGAAAATAGCATGACTTGTGTTAAAAAAAATGAAGCATTTTACCAAAGTATCCTTCGATTTTTATTTATTAAACCAATATAAAATAGATTAATATCGAATGTCTAATTTACCCCAGCTATATTTTACTGAAATAATTAATTTAAATCCGTTTTAAATATAAATTATCATTTTACATAAGTATCCTTAGTCAATATTATTCTAAATAAGGACATTATTAATTAAACTATTATGATTGGCCTCTTAATTATCTACATTATATTTCACGAAAAAGTATTTACTTTAAATTGAGAATTTAACTAGAACGCTAATACGAATTTATTAGAACCTAATTATATATGTATTATAATTTGTACGGATTAATTTCTCGATGGAAACTTTTTATTAAAAAAAATCAATTTACCTAGAATTTAACTAGAACCCTAATTGCGAATCCGCAAAACTCTAATTACAAATAAATCCATAGGAAAACCTTGAATTGTTTAGGGATTATTTTATCAATTTCGAATAATTCCGTGTATCCCAAGCAATTCAATTTTACTTATAAACATAATTACAAACAAATCCATAGAAATTAAAAAGTGTTTATCTTACAAATTGTCAAGTTACAAATTAGAACCCTAATCACAGATCTATAGTACGTAACCCTAGCATGTTGTACTGATTAATTGTTCGAATTAAAATGTTTATCTTACAAATTGTCAAGTTACTATTTAGAACCCCAATTGCAGATCCATAGTAACCCTAGCATGTTGTACTGATTAATTGATCGAATTAAAATCTTACAAATTCCCAAGTTACTAATTAGAATGTTGTACTGATTAATTGTTCAATTTAAAGTGTTTGTCTAACAAATTGTAAATTTACTATTAAAACCCTAATCACAGACCCATAGTAACCCTAGCATGTTGTACTGACTAATTGTTCGAATTAAAGTCTTTATCTAACAAATTGTCAATTTACTAATTAGAATGTTGTACTGATTAAATGTTCTATTTAAAGTGTTTGTCCAACAATTTATCAATTTACTAATTAAAACCCTAATCACAGATCCATAGTAACCCTAGCATGTTGTAGAAGCCTATTTACAGATTTACTTATAATCCTAATTACAAATGTTTATGAACACTGACACCACGTTGTATGGATTATTTTCGATTTATTTACAAATCAATATAATTTTGTTTTCCACAAAAAATTGCAATTTGAGTAAATATCGAAATGTTGAGAACATCATAAAAAGTAAATGAATAGTGGTCATAACATGTCAAAAATATACTAAATAAAAAAAAAATTGAAAAAATATGTCAAAATTTATCCGAAACTAAAAACAAAATATTCCAATAACATGTTGTCTTAAATTTTTTTTTATCCTGAATGTCATATGAAGCAATATCTTTTGTAGAAAAAAAACATAATAGGTCAAGTCGTTATCTGAATTGTCGGTTGGGTATCTAATCATGTTATGTGGACTATTGTACATATTTAAAGCCAATGATTTCTTGCAGTTACTATTGTTCATACAAAAAAGGAAAAAAAATAGTTACATAATAATATTGGTGCTCTTATCTTATATGTTCAGCAAAACTAAATGAATTGTTAATCCCATTCGAGCATAAATTATTGCTCACATTACTCAATGGTGATTTGAATTCCTTGCCTAATAGCATTAGCATGCACACGTACAATCCACAGTCATATCTGTTGGTATTTAATTGTTAGTTTGCACTATAATAAAAAGTATGAAGAAAATTTACATTGTCTTAAACTTACGTATTTGGATAAATGGGTACCCATTCGGCCTTTTAATAATTCATGAGTGTTGAATTGGATCTCGTCTTCGCCTCTCCGTTATCCCATTTCAACAAACACTTTCTCTAGTCTTTTTACCTGCATTATTAAGGAAATGATTAATTATATATGTACGGTTGTCAATAGAGTAACGTGCCAACAGTAACGAAACCGTACATAGAGTTATGTCGTAATTACCAATTTTGTCACAATTGGTGGAATAAATGGACTTAATGTGAATTCAATATTGGAATTAGTGGCAATTCAATATTGGAAGAAGTGGGCATTCATGTTGGAATAAGCGGAGTTTTGAATGTTAGAATAAATGTGTATTTGAAGCACCATTTTCTAGATGTATACAATTGTCTTTTGATTTTCCTATGTGTTAAATTAGAATTAGAGGAGTTGTTAGTCTAAGAGTCATCTTGTAATTTATTAGAATATTAATGTACTCCTCACTATAAATATGGAGTGCTAGAAATGATAGTAAGCAAGACA